TATTAGCATCTGCAACTAGCAACATTGTTTTAATAAACTTGCAATTTCTTTTTACATCAATTCACAAACATGTCTTTCCTGAACAGGCAGTAGTGCCAAAAGTAATCTAAGTAGAAGTATGGTATAATAAAGAAAATACAAGTCATGGCCTCTAACTTCAAGATATTTACAATCCAGCCATGGAACAAGTCTATTACCTATAAAATAAGAGTGAACAACACAAAACAACATATGAACATGAGCTGGGATGAAAGGACTATAACTGCTATAGGAAATCCAGCTCCTTCAGGGTAAGAGCCATGTCTTAATCATGTTACTACTCCAGGCTTGAGGGTATGTGTTTGAGAGAGGATAATAAATAACGTAAATTGGGGACCATGATGCTAGAGAAAATGTGAAAATGAAATGATGAAGGTACTGTTGAAAGAAGGCTGCTCTGGAATTGCTGCATAGGATCAGTGGGGCGCACGGTGGGGTATGGTGAGGTCAGAAGCATTTCAAGGTTTGGATGAGGGTTTCAGGGTGCAGAAGAAGTATACAAACACTACAATCATTGAGGAGAAATTTCATCAGAAAATGATGACTTATCTGAAGGGTCTGGGATAAAATAAAAGACATAGAGAAAATGTGTTGCAATCCCAGATAAATGTTTCCTACTGATAGAGATGGGCTCAATGGAAAGGGGGAATCAGTTTGGGAAGGCGCTGATGAAGGGTTCAACTTGGGGTATTTCATTTCTGTGATGACAGAGACAACATCCTAAAACAAATGACTAATTCACACTTGAAGATATCTTGAAGATATAGGATAAGATAAAGGAGAGAGGTATAGGAGCATAGACCTGTGTATTACAAGCTTGGAAGTAAAAACAAAAGCCATCACATTTTCATTATGTCTTCATTCAACACATAGTTACTGAGTCCTTAACATGGGAGTGGAGTAATGAACATAGGAGACAATGTCCTGGTCCTCATAGAACTAAAATTCTAATTGGGATTACAAAGAAACAAAAATAAATGTAGTATGCCACCTGGTGGTAAAGTCTATAGAGTAAATTAAGGTAAGAGAGAAATGTAGATGGAAATGGTGTGGTTTCCTGTTTGTTCATTTGTGGGTTTCTTTCTGTTTTTGTTTGTTTGTTTGGTTGTTTCTGACAGAGTCTCACTCTGTTGCCCAGGCTGGAGTGAAGTGGCATAATCTTGGCTCATTGCAATCTTCACCCCCGGGGTTCAACTGATTCTTCTGCCTCAGCCTCGCAATGAGCTGGGCCTACAGGTGCGTGCCACCACACCTGGCTGCTGTTTTGTATTTTTTAGTAGAGATGGGGTTTTACCATGTTGGCCAGGCTAGTGTTCAGCTCCTGACCTCAAGTGAGCCACCCATTTTGGCCTTCCAAAGTGCTGAGATTATAGGCATGAGTCACCACGCTGAGCCCCTAAGGGCTTTTTTGTTTTGTTTTTAAAAGGAGATTAGGGAAGACCTATCCAAAAGATGATATTAGAGCAGAGATGTGAAGCAAAGGAACATATGAGATGTACGAATTTCTGGGAACCAAATAATTTTTTTTTTAGACAGAGTTTCGCTCTTTTTGCAATGGCACAATCTTGGCTCACTGCAACCTCTGCTTTCCAGGTTCAAGTGATTCTCCTGCCTCAGCCTCCTGAGTAGCTGGGATTACAGGGATGCACCACGATGCCTGGCTAATTTTTGCACTTTTAGTAGAGATGGGGCTTCTCCAGTTTGGTCAGGCTGGTCTTGATTCTCGACCTCAGCTGATCTGCCTGCCTCAGCCTCCCAAAGTGCTGGGATTGCAGGCATGAGCCACCATGCCTGGCCCCTTATTTTGTAAGAAATAGAGGCAAAAGTAGGTGCAATGGTCCTGCAGAGGAAGAGTTATCAGCTTCATTGGAGCAGAAGGAGACAGAAGAAAGGGAGAGGTGAGACTTGGGAGGTCAACGAGTCTTCTGGGGCCTAGTGAACCATTGGACATTTCTCAGCTTTTACCTGGAGTAGACTAATAGCCAGGGAGGATTTTGAGTCAAGGAGTGATGTGAGATGGACAACAAGTTTGTTTCCCCTTAAAATTCGTACGTGGAAATCCTAAACTTCAATGTAATTCTATTAGAAGGTAATTAGGTCACAAAGGTAGAGCTCTCATGAATAGGATTAGTGCCTTTTTAAAAGGGACTCCAGCTCTTTTGCCCTCTTTTTGCAATGTGAGGATCCAAGGAGGAGTCATTTGTTTGCAGCCCAGAAAAGGGCCCTTGCCAGAACCTGACCAGAAGGGAATGCTGATCTTGGACTTCAGCTTCCAGATCTGTGAGAAATAAATTTCTGTTGTTTAAAAGCCACCTTGTCTGTGTGTCTGTTGTAGTAACAAACCAACTAAAATAAGAAACATAATCTAGTTTACATTTTAACAGGATCACATCCACTGTTGTGTTGAAAATAAACAGTAGAAAGAAAGTGAAAGTGAGTAAACAGGGAGACTATTTCAATAAAATCAGGTGACAGATGACAGTAACGGTGGTGAGAAATGAACTGATTCTGAATGTATTTTGAAGACAGAGAAAACTGGGTTCTTTGGTGTTCATTTATGTTATGACAGAAACAAGGGAAGATGATTTTAAGTGTTTTGTCTGAAGCACCTGGAGTAATGAAGCTAGCATCTTGTGAAATGGAGTAGACTGGGAGAATGGGTTTGGGCAAAAATCGGGGACAGTTCTGGATATGCTAAGTTTGGGATGTCCATTAGAATTGTGTATAAAAATGCCACAGTATATAGTACTGAAGTTCAAAGCTGTGGTCCATGCTGGAAATAGAAATTTAGAAGTGGCTAGTGTTACATGGTCTCTTAGCCATGAACACTGAATGAGATGCCCTAGGGAATTACTAGAGAGAGAAGAATGAAAAGTTAAAAACTGAGTTCCAAAACGAAGAGGGATCAGCAAAGGGGATTGAAAAGGGGTAGCTCTCCATTAGATTCAGGAGATATATGTGCTTATTTGCTACATGGATGTACTGCATACTGGTGGGAGCTGGGCTTCTACTGTACCCATTACCCAAACAGTGAACGTTTTATCCAATAGGCAATCAATTCAAGAAGGGAGCTACCAATTGGGTTAAATGCTCAAATAGACCTACTGAAGAGATAATTGAGAAGTTACTGATGGATCTAACAATATGAAGGCAATTGGTGAGCCAGATAAGAGGTAAATGATTGAGATAAAAACCTAAATAGAATTGGTTCAAGAGACAAAGGCAGGGCAGAAATTAGAAACAGCAAAAGTAGGTAATTCTTTTGAGAAATTCTTATCCTAAAATAAAGCAGAGTAAAGAGAAATAGCTGGAGTGGGGATGTGGAATCTGGAACATGCAAAAGCAATTGAAAACAGGAACACTAAAGGAAAAAGAAATTATTTTTGGTGCTGAGGATGAGACATCCCAAAGATAACAGGGATGGAATAGTTAGAGACAGACAGGAATACAGTCATCATGGTGCAGTGTCCTATAAGCCAATAAGACTGGAAGATATCAACCAATATGAAATATAACAGAAAAGACAAGTTGAATGAGTATAAAGAAAAAGTGTGATATAGCTGGCCTAGAATTAGAACCTGTACAATGCCATTTTATAAAGAACAAAGCCGTTTCCATTCTCCTCACAAGGACTGCTAACCTTGGTTTCTGTAAACTTATAGATTATTTGCAGGATGCAAAGAGAGGTAAAGCTGCATACCTTCTCTTATCTGTAACTGCCAGAATTGCTGGCCTTTGTTTCCCAGAGTAAGCACCCCCAGATAATTCCATCCTGGCGCCAAGCAACTGAAAATCTATGGATCCCACCCCTACCCAGACGATGTGTAAATGAATACTAATCTTAGCATCTGTGAACTCCTTAAATGACAATCAGAATAGTCCCCTGGCTCTCGAAATGTCCGGAACCCCCTCACCCTCATCTCCGCCCAGAAGGTGATTTGAATCTACTGGCCCTCAGAATGTCTGAAGCCCCTCATCCCATCCTCTCCCCTCACCCCCAAGGTGATTTTACAGGTATAAAATGTCTTGTTACCCTCTTTTACAGGGCCAAGGGTTGGAGAGACGTGAGTCCTCCGTGGTCGCTGGCAATAAACCCTGTAATTTGGCATACTTTTGTTCTGGTGTTGGCTTTTCTGTTGAGTTCGATATAACAAAAGCATATTGTATTTATCAAAAAGGAGGTCATTAACAGAAAGAAGTATCAGAACATGTCAGAAAGTTTGGGCTTATGTGTTTTTAAGATATCTAGAATACCTTATTTATTTATGTTGTTTATGTTTCAGGTACTCTTTTAGTCACTAGGATATAACAATTCACAGAAAATGAAAAAAGAAAAGTGCCACTCTTATGGATGTTGAGTCTATTAATTTTTCCTGAAGACAACACCAACATTAACAAAGAAACCATCATATTTACAAAAGCCCTCAGTAGTCTCTGGTTCCCATTATTCACATCCTTATATAATCCTCTCACCTTGTGTGAACTAGACTTAGTGACTTACTTTTAACCAAAAGAATGTGGCAAAGCTGATGGCATTCTGCTTTTACAATTAGGTTACAAGAGATTTTGACTTCCATCTTGCTAGCAAACTCTCCCTCTTGCCTTCTCATCTTACATGATTTGAAAAAGCAAGCTGCTATTTTGGAGAAATCTGTGTGGCAAGGAAATAAGAGCAGCCTTTGGCCAACAGTCCTGGAAGAACTGAACCCGGCCAACAACCACATAAGTGAGCTTGAAAGCAGATCTTCCCCAGTCAAGCCTTCAGATGAGATCCCAATTATGACTGATACTTTTGGTGCAATGTTTTGAGAGACTCCAAGCTAGACCCCTCTACTAAGTGATGCCCTGATTCCTGACTCACAGAAACATGAGATAATTACCTATGCTGTGCTAAGTTGCTGAGTTTTGTAGTAATTTATTTTGTATAATTAGATGAAGAATATAATGACTTAACCACTCACCAGTTGTTCCAATGGAGGAATGACATCTTTCAAGACATGCTGTGAATGATTCCTTCTGTGTCGGGATATCTGCAAATATATTGACATTTGATATTGTTACATTATTTTTCTTAATAGATTTTAGTAAAAGTACACATAAAAATAACCATATTCAGTGTCATTCAAGCATGTGAATTAAGTACTATAAAATGAGAAGTGAATGTTTCAGACTTTGACTAATTTGAATAAAACGTGTGCTCAAAAATGGCTGGCTGCAATCACATCTCAAACCCAATGCTCTTCTTACCATGGACTCTTGACAACCCTTTCTTCACATGCTGGAGTCTGTGTTCTCTCATGTGAACCTGGGCAGACCATATGCCTACCTCAACCAAAAAGTACAGCGGAAGTTCCACTCTGTGACTTCAAAGATTGGAACACAAAAAAGTCATATATATCCCTGCGTCATCTGAGAACCCTCATTCATGGTAAATGTGTTGGAGGAATCCTAAATCACCCCTACAGAGTGAACACCTGGAAAGTCTTGAAGGTTTCTGACAGATAGAAAGGCTGATGCTCCAGGAGACAGCCAGCATCAACCACCAAGCTTATGAGTACAAAGAAGTCCTCTACCCTCCCCAGGCACTGGTAACCATCATTCTACTCCCTATCTCAATGAGATCAATTGTTTTATTGTTGCCCTATATGAGTGAGGACATGTGAAGTACAAAATGATAAATGCTCGAGTTCATGAGTATCCCAATTACCCTGATTTGACAGGGTAAAATACATTGTCAGGATACACTGTAGGCCTGTATCAAAACATCACACATATCCCATACACACACACACACACACACACATTATGTACCCCTATTAATTAAAAATAGAACATTAAATTTAAAAAGAGCTCTAGCCTGAGCAACATAGTGAGACTCCAACTCTCCAAAATGTATTTTTTAAATTAGCTATGAATGGTGGCACATACCTATAGTCAGTCCCTAGCTACTCCAGAGGCTCAGGTGGGAGAATCACTTGAGCCAGGATTTTGAGGCTGCAGTTAGCTATGATCACACAACTGCTCTCCAACCTGGGCAACAGAGTGAGACCCTACTATAAAACACATTAAAAATTAAAACAAAACAAAAAACTCCTGATAATGGCCTTTTGTCCATTGGGTTTCCCCCAACCTTCAAACTTTCCAGAAGAGACCTCATATATATTGTGGAGTAGAAAAAAGCTATTGTTGCTGTGCTTCATCTGAATTTTTCACCAGAATCTAAGGATGACAAACGCATTGTTCCATGTCTCTATGTTGGTGATTTTTAAGTAGAACAAAATATTTCATATTAAAATGTGTTTTTCTTTTCTTTTTTTTCCCTTTTTTGAGACAGAGGCTTACTCTGTTGCCAGGAGCCAGGCTGGAGTGCAGTGGCGTGATCTTGGCTCACTGCAACGTCTGCTTCCTGGGTTCAATCAATTCTCCTGCCTTAGCCTCCCAAGCAGCTGGGACTATAGGTGTGCGTCACCATGCCCAGCTAATTTTTGTATTTTTTAGTAGAGACAGGGTTTCACGGCTAAGATAGTCTCAATCTCCTGACCTCGTGATCCACTTGCCTCGGCCTCCTAAAGTGCTGGGATTACAGGAATGAGCCACTGCACCCAGCCTGAAATGTTTTTTGTTGATTATGTGAGCTCAGCTTTTTCAGAATCAACATTCCATTAAGTCTATGTCTTCTATTATTATCCAGATATGTTTAAATATTAAAAAATCACACTTGTTTTATGTGCTTTTAGAACAAGTGAAAAGTAATCTTAATGTTCTTTCCCCTAAAGAAGCATCATAGACATATTCTACAATAAAACAAAAAGAGAAAGAGAATTTATAACCAAATCTTATACTGCTTTATAATTTAATCAGAAACTCTCATTAATATTATTTCATATTTACATGGAGAGAAAGAAAGAGGGAGGGAACAAGAAGGGGCAAGAGGAGGATGAAAGAGAGACAGACAGAGAGAGGGGGGGTATAAGAAATTTAAGAAATAAAGCAGGCCTGAGTACTATGTCTAGGAAAGGACTTCATTGCCCTTGGCTCTGGTTACTGGCACAAGCAACTGACTGAAGGAATTACATCAATGTCTGTGGAGATTTTGAGATAATGGTTTTACCAAAAAATAATAAGTAAATAAATAAATAAATAGAATCCTGGCCTAAAAATATCTATGACGCTATACAACCCTGGAGCCCCACATTTGCTCTATGAAAACTGGATTGTGAATAAAGTAAAACTCTAAGGAGATAATTTTCTCCAATGTTCACTTCACAGATGGCCTATGGAAGATAATGGAGGAGGAAGAGACTTCAGAAAACAGAGCCAGAAACCCGGAGAACAGTGGCCATGGGGAATTCCAGAAAGGGGAGTCAGGGACTGTCTCTACTTTCAGGGAAGTTGTCTCAGAGAGCCTTACCAGTAGGATTTCATTATTGTTTTGGTCTAGTGACTGTTGGCTGTTTACCTTTTTTTCCTTTTACAAATGAGAAGGGGTTTTGTTTGTTTGTTTTTCCCACTTATCTTGCTCCATTGTTATCTATTGGATGCGGTTGGGAAAGTGGGAGAGAGCTTTTGTCTTAAGCTCTAAATCACTTACCTTTGCTGTCTCCCTACTCCTCCTATAAAACCTGGACCTCAGAGCCATTTATCACCAGAGATTCTGAAATTTGAGCTTGATGCTACAACTGGATGGGACTTCGGGCTGTGTCCTTTGGGGAGGCAGATGTATGGATTGCTAAGCATTAGAAAACAGTTGTAAATGGCTATATGGTCAAGGGGAGGGAGGACTGAATGGCAGACTGGCTGGTCACCAACATTGTATCCTCTTTTCTGGATGCTACATTTCTCAGCCTGCCTTGCAGTTAGGAGTGGCTGTGTGACCAGTTCAGACCAATGGATGTGAACAGAAACAATGCCAGCCATTCCCTGGCTAAGGCTATGAACCAGGGAGAACTTCCCCTCCATGAACAAAATTCTACAGTGGGATGAAGATGCAAGATAGAAGGAGTTTGTGCTCTGAACCACCATGTGGAGAAAAGCAAACATAAGCCAGTTTTTCTGGCTTTGTTTTCTTTAGTAAATTTTTATTGTGGAATAATTTTATACTTAAGAGAAAAGTTGCAGAGGGAGTTCCTGCAGAAAACTTGCATCTAACTGTTACATAAGTGACAAACAAGCTTCTATTTTTTGGAACCCTCATCTATTTTAGAGAATTTTACAGCTGCTAGCATTACCTTAAATATGGTACCCATAGTTGATGCTCAGTTAACATCTAAATGAAAGGTCTTATGCATAAGGAAACTGAGAGCAGAATACTTAATGGGAGTGATCCTAGAAACCTAAAATTCACATTTATTAATTATTCATTGATACTTCAGCTTCTTCTCAGGAGTGGAAGGATATATGCATGTGGTATCTAAACCTCTTGAAAAAACAGAAATTTATTTTATCTTGCTATACATTTAGAATGCACTACTCTTAATTACTACTCATTATACTAGATTTATACTCTCCACTGCAAATTTCATACATATGTCGTATATTTAACTTACAAGGGTGGAAGAGTTCCAAGATGGAAAGAGTTTTCTTGTTCTATTTCCTTAAAACCCAGCTAGATTACCAGTCTTAGGGCAAAAGCAATTCTCCTAAAAAGTGAGGTACCTCAAGTTTTAAGTGTTAGAAAAGCAGCAAGTAAATGTCTCCACAATACTGGCCATTTACTAAGTCAGTTGGACCATTTCTTCTATGGCTAACTCCATGCCCTCTTTCTTCTGCCCACTACTGATTCTGATGGGTATGGTGACCCACTTGCCTCTAAATATTCCCTTCCACTCACCTACAGAAAGCTTTTATTTAAGGCAATGTTGGAAATGTGTGGTGTACATATTGTTAGGGGCATGAGACATTATTTTAGCTGATGAGCATTTTCGTTGTAATAATTTATAAAATCCTAAGGTTTCATAGAAAAATGTATCACATCAAAACAAATGTATCACTAGTGATATATTTTGTTTCAAAATAAAGCTATTTAAGTTTAAATAATTAAATAATTTATGGTATGAACTATGGAAAAACTCACAAACATAGTAAGTGAATGACTGAAGTTTGGGAAACAAGTTTAAATGAGAAGAATCAAAATGGAAACTCAACACATACTTATTTCATCCTTGAAGGGGCCCATTGAGTCCATGGTATAAATAAGAAAGCAAAGTAAAAATTATACAAAGATAATATTATCTGCTAGCATTTATTGAGTACTTATTGTCTGCCAGGCATGGTTCTATATGTTTTGCATTTATTAGCATGTTTAATTATCACCCAAACCTTAAGGGGTTAATAATATTAACCCTTTTAAAAATAAATATTGAAGTATAAATACAGACATTTAAGTATTTGATTTTATTTTATAATAAATAAAAAGTATAAATACAGACAGTTTAAGTATTTTTATTTTATTAGCTTTAGATTTGAAAATCCATAGCTAATAAAAGGCATAGGTGGTATTTTAACCCAGATCTAAGTATAAGCTTAACTATGACACTTTATTGTTTCTCCAGCAATATAAACACGTGTGTGTGTGTGTGTGTGTGTGTGTGTGTGTGTGTGTGTGTAGGCAGTCACTAAATTCTTGGGGAACTAAGAAGTTGAGACCCTCTGAGTACATAAAAGGATATTTCTAAGGTGGAAATTTAGAGTCAAACTTATGAATCTTTACCCATTTATACAGGATGCTAGAAACCAGGTTTCAAATTTGTTATGAATCATCGTAATACTCCTTTAGGGGAAGTAATATTGCTGATCATTCCTAAATCAGTAAACTAGCCAATGTATCATTTTCAACCAGGTTATGAAGATGTTGAAAAAAGAGAACTTTCATCACCTGTCTTTTGCTCTAATGTTGTTCTCCATAAAGCATTAGGCCAAGAAATATGTGATTATTCCAAATCAGATTATGTTGACTGAGACTTACGATTTAGGAAATTCTGGATCCAAAATGGCTTAATTGCTTCACATAGATATCAGGAAAAGTTAGGAC